GTTTAGAGACAGTAGTATATGTTTAGAGACTGTACTATATGTTTAGAGACTGTACTATATGTTTAGAGACTGTACTATATGTTAAGAGACTGTACTATATGTTTAGAGACTGTAGTATATGTTTAGAGACAGTAGTATATGTTTAGAGACTGTACTATATGTTTAGAGACTGTACTATATGTTTAGAGAATTTACTATATGTTCAGAGACTGTACTATATGTTTAGAGGCTTTACTATATGTTTAGAGACTGTACTATATGTTTAGAGACTGTACTATATGTTAAGAGACTGTACTATATGGTTAGAGACCGTACTATATGTTTAGAGACTGTACTATATGTTTAGAGACTGTACTATATGTTTAGAGACTTTTCTGTATGTTTAGAGACTGTACTGTATGTTTAGAGACTGTACTGTATGTTTAGAGACTGTACTGTATGTATGTTTAGAGACTGTACTGTATGTATGTTTAGAGACTATTATTGTATGTTGAAGAGCCCGTGAGAAGAACAAAAAGCTATGAATTTCTGTATAAGATCATACTCATACTTGTGTTTTATAGTTGTGTTTTATAGTAAAAAAGATACGAGTTCGCAAAGTTCTACCAGTAATATTCTAAACGGAGCTGAAAACTTCCCACAAACTCTTTTGTCTAATCCTTTTATCTTTGTGGAAGACTTTAGTTATTTCATACTATTTATTATGTTATATAAAATATCAGATATTTACAACATCAGGTTGCAAAAATATAAGGATTAGAAAATCACATACACTGCACTGAGCTTCATTATAGAAAGATGAATTGTCCCACAGAGAGGTTAGACTAGGCCTGTTGAATTAGAAATGCTTCTGATGAAGTTCAGTGTAGAGATTAGAATATTCTAATTTGTGACGAATAAATAGTTTCTTTGTCATAGATATGTATCTACTCTTGATTTTAAGAAACATCTAGATTAAAATCAAAATAATACCAAAGACTCATATTTACTATGTTTTGCAAAAACTTCTAAATTTCAGCACCCATCTGAAAAAAGATGGGATCTGGCAAACACGAAAATGTATCATTTTTTTATCTATTTGGGCTCCTTTATTTACTCCTTTATTTAGATAATCTTTAAATATATTTAACACTGGGCTTTAGAGCGCTTCGCGCTCCCTTTCCTTCTAACCAATTTTAGCTTTTGACTAATGCTCGTAAAGTTGTTCATCGTTTTTCAAATTTTACTCATTTTTCTTTTCGAATTGGTGCATTTTCCAAATATTTGTTTACAATTTCGATGGTTCATCAACCTTTCCTGAGGTCCCACACAAAATGTGGGCCCAATCGGTTCAGCCGTTTTGACGTTTATTGGATGAAAACAGAAAGACAGACAAGCAAAGTAATTATATAGAAGTTATAATATATATATATAATATTATATATATATATATATATATTGATATACAGATAAATACTTCAATCGGCGTTATACACAAAATGGAAATATTTACTTCTACTGAAACTATAGTGATAGAAAGATAAAATTAGTGTAGAGTGTTGAAGTGTATAACAATATGATAGGTCAACAAAATACATATATCAATCTCTGAAATAGTTTACAGAATGAAATATGTGGCAATGTGATATATATATGTAATATATATGTATATAAACAAAATATATTTTAAATTTCTAAAATGTGTAAAGAATTCAGCATATAACAAAGAACCTACATTTCCAGAATGATTCGCACCGTTTGATCCATTAAGAATGAGATATCCACAATTTTCTGGAACAATTGATTATTTTTAGTTATATTAATTTTGTTAAATTATAATTTTTAAGGGACTATCTGCAACGTTATTTTAATTATTATTAATTAATTAATTATTATTATTTTAATTATTAAGACATGCATGGCCGATTCACATTGGTTCCCTTTAAACCTTCGCCTGACCAAAGAAATAAAAATTGTTTTATAATCTATATATTTAGCATGTCTGTTTGTTTGTCTGTCTGTCTGCATTCAAGAAACGTCAAAAATCAGGTCAAGTATTTGTTGACAAGTCACATGACCTCATGGAAGGTTTTTGGACCGTCAAAAATTAAAATGCGCCAATTTAGACAAAAAAAAAGTCCGCAAAAATTTGAAAACAGTTAAAAATGGTGAATTTCGGAGCAAGAGTTAAAAGTTAGAACTATTGATAGGATTAGTGGGCACATTTTTACTTATTGCATCATACTAAATTTTTATAATGTTTCATTTCTTTTCTACGAGGTAATGTTATTATTCTATATTTATTTATTTTTTTGAAATGAATTTTAACACATTTAGTTTGGATACATTGGATACAGAAGTACACAGCACTAGGTTTATATCATATTGTTTACTATAGCCTGGGGAAAATACTTGGGTTTTTTTGTGTCCTAGTGGTTATAAAACCTAACAGGGGATGGATTGGAGGGGGAGGGAATAGGATAAGTTTTAACTTTCAAAATTTTAAATGTTGATTGTAAAGAATTTTGTATTGTCTAAAGAAATTCTTGAGAGGTTTAATTATTGATCTAACGAAATTTTAGTTTGCTTTTACCTGAATATAAATGGTTTGCTTTTAAAAATGGGATTTTAGATTTTGTAGATTTTACTTACAGGGTTACCCGCAATAAATGAGGCTTAACTTCTCATATTCTCTTTCGTCCTTTTCATAGTCCATTAATTTAATGTAATTTGAAGGCGTTTGAGTCATTTTCTATGTGCAAAATATACAATAAATATATTTCGATACACGGTAATATTATGCAATTCAACGTCATAAAGTTTAATACTTTTTGTGTAATGTACTTTTTCTTTTCTTTTAGTACTTTGTCATAAAAGTCCAACTCAAAAATAACTTTTGTTAAGGCATTCTTCGTGCAACAAAACTTTAACGGGGGGGGGGATATAGGATGAAAGGAATTGATTCTTTGCCACAAACTCTGATTTTCTAACTTCTATATCTTTGCAACCCAATTTCGTAGACCTTTGATATTTCAAACTATTAATTTTGCTAGAGCTTATAATCTAAGTTTGAAATATTAAGATTTACACCAGCTGACATAGGGACAAGCAAATTTGAATTTGTGGCTAAAACTCAAATTCTTTAATCATGAGATGATGGACATTATTTTAGATTCTTAAATAATTATTTCTCAAAAACCGCCGAAAAAAACCGCCGAAAAAAACCGCCTTTTTTGAGAAAACCCATATTAAGAAAGAACCAAAGGAATCAATGAAAATTGAATAATCTTTCTTTCGATAAAATAGAAAATTAAAGATTTCAATTTTAAAATTTGAAAACAAAATGTTTTTTTTTTTGCATGAAAAGTGTAGTTTTTTTGACGAGTCTGTCTGTTAGAATGTATTCGTGGACAAATTATCCAGCAATTTAGTTAGTGGTTCCCTCATTAACTCTATATTTTTCAAACAAACCCTTCCCACCCCCCACCCACCTAATTCACTTTCATGAATTGAAATTAATTTTTTAGTAAATTTATCTTTAAACAAAAATTCAATTTTTTTTCTGATAGACAAAAAAAGAAAATATATAGATGTAGATGTACAGTACATTTAAAAAATAATCTGATTTTTTCATTTTAATTTCTAAACAATTGTAAAAAAATGAAAAAGAAAATAAATTTTTTTTCTAAAAATACGTTTTTTAGGTGGTCTACGGGGGCTTTAAAGCCGAGGTTTGGTGTTTATTTAAAGATAAAGAAAAATTAGAAAACCCGAGACCCGCATAAACACCGCCAAAATCGGCGGGGGACGAAAAGGGGGTCGGCAGGGGCCAAGGGGGTCGGCAGGGGCCGGGAAAAGGAAAAGGAAGGGACGGGACAATTTTTGGCCCTTCCCTTCCTTACGAGAGAGAATCAAGATTAACATGAACTTGAAAGTTGATTCATTCTTTTTGAGTCTTTATGATAATTCATCTCCCCCCCCCACACCTCCACCTTCGAAAAATTTAGAAGAGGAAGAAACATTTAAGAAATTTAAAGTGAAAAATGTTCCTTGTCAAATCTGGTTTTAAAGCTTGGTATCGTAAAAGTGTTGTAAAAATTCTTTTCAGTTTAAAGTCAGGGGCTTATAGGGCCACCTTGAAAACAAACCTTAATTCAAGGGTCATCTGGGAAACAAAATTAGGTTAAAGTAATTTCCACCAATCAAACTTTTGAATAAAGATTTATAGCAAGAAAAAAAACCGATCTCTGACAATCAACATTTAAATTTTAAATAAAATTTCGAGGGTTTTTTGGACGTGCCATTTGAAAATGTCTGCAAAACTTTTTATTTCCAAACAGAAACAATTTTAACCTTTTAAAAAAGAAACTAGGGAACAGTCTCTTTTCCCTTTTATTCATTTTATTACTTTTGGAAGGTTTTGAAAAATCTTCGATACACAATGTATTTTACTCTAAACTGTAGTTTTTATTAACGAAATGCAAATTTTAAAGGGAATGTTCGCGAAAAATGAAAGGGGGCATAGACTTACGGCGAAAAAAATCCCTTTTGATCGATACTAATCTTGCTTCTATCTGTTGCGTCTATAAGGAGAAATTTGTTAAAAACGACTTTTACTGAAGAACGTAGCGTTCATACAAATTCAGAAAGTTGCAATATTCAACTCGGATAGTAAACAAATCATTCATATATTAAAACCTATAGTAATAGATTATTTTTCGACGTATTCATATATAGTTCATATTTCATAATATTTTTTACTCGTTTTTATGAACAATAATGCACTTACAACGCCGTAATAGTTGGCCGCCAGATGTCTCTGCTCTCGATGCTTTGAATGATTACATGTTGCAGAGTCAAATGGCGGAAAAAAGTCGTTTTAAGTGAATTGTATACAAAACAAATAACAAATATTATGAAATATCAACTATATACGAATGAGTCGAAAAATAATCGATGACTATAGGTTGTAATATCTGAATGATTTGCTTGAAATTAAATTATTTTGGCCGTAAGCCTATAATCCCTTAATTTTTTTGTGAACACTCTTTTTAATGCATAAAGTTTTAAAAAACTGATTAATTGTTTCATAAATATATAGCATATTTCAGATTATCAAAGAACCTTCCAAAAGAGCCCGAAACAATTGCCTAAAAATAAATCGGCCAGGCCGAAAAAATTAGATTCGTCAATCCTTGAACTTGAAAGAACGAAGAGTTGGTTTCACGTTTTGTCCAGAAATCAGCGGAATAGTTTTTTTTGGTAGATTCACTTCTTCTCCTTTTTATCACTAAACACGGACAAATCTCAATCGTCCAAAACGACGAATTTCTCGAGAATTCGTCTAATTCGAGTCTGGTTCCTCGTCTAAGAGATCCCCGCCGTCCAGCTTTGATTTATTCTCTTTCTTCCACTTCATTCGTCTGAAACAAAAATCAAAATAATTTTATAATTATAATGTGATAACTTTGATAATTTTAATATTCCATCAGAAACATAAATATAGAGAATGATATGTGTTGTTTTACCTGTTTTGAAACCATATTTTGATTTGTCGCTCTGTTAGGCAGAGCGCATGCGCGATCTCTATTCTGCGTCTGCGCGTTAAATATCTGCGGAACACAGAGGTCAGTCACAAACCGGTTTTCGAGAATTCTTCCAACCATCAAATTCAAGATGGCCGCTTTCAAATTCAAACCACAACAAAAGCAAAACTTTAACAAAACCAATTGCGAAAAGAACCAAACCAAACCAAATATAAAAGAGTTTGTTTTTAGTCTTAATTCATGACAGAAACACTCTTAAGAACTGACGAGGGTCATCCTAGACCGAAATATATTTTCAATAAAATGTGGAACTAACATCTACTTTTTTACTCTACAGAGGTTTGGTCCATCACCATCACCGAACTTCAAATAAAAAAGAACAAACAGATCAAATATGAGATAACATCAAAACCAAATATTAAAGAACATTAAATTCAAATATAAAAGATTAATAAATAAGATCAAATACTAAAAGAACAACCAAATCAAATGTAAGAGTACAATCAAATGAAATATAAAAGAACAACCTCAACAAGAAACATCCAATCAATAACAAACTAAAAGAGAATCAAAACAAATTACACCCACTAAGCGAGCAAGTACAAAAAATTATAAAAGTGAAGAATTTTTTGATAAAATGTTTTTAAATTACTGTTCTGCGCCGCTCCTGTTGAAATGAAATTCCTTCTCTAGCTCTAATGTTTGGTACCGGGTATATGTTTGCCGCCCACGTTTACGCTCTGAAAATATTGAAATAAATTAGATTTATTGCATGAACTACATCTTAGATATTTCTAATTATCTCTGTTACATTGGCCTAGATATTTGTTGAACATTTGCACATTTGGGAAGTTGCAACTTGGGAAAATACCCTTGGGAAGTTGCCACCTAGGGAAATATTTTTGGGAAAATTCCTTATATCGTTTTATCTTTGCAAGATTACTTGTAAAATATTCGACTTGCTAGATATTCCCAACTTCCTATTATATATTCCATCTCCCTGTTAGATATTCCCAACTTCCTATTATATATTCCATCTCACAGTTAGATATTCCCAACTTCCTGTTATATATTCCATCTCCCACTTAGATATTCCCAACTTCCTGTTATATATTTCATCTCCCTGTTAGATATTCCCAACTTCCAATTATATATTCCATATCTCTGGTAGATATTCCCAACTTCCTATTATATATTCCATCTCCCTGTTAGATATTCCCAACTTCCTATTATATATTCCGTCTCCCTGTTAGATATTCCCAACTTCCTGTTATATATTCCATCTCCCTGTTAGATATTCCCAACTTCCTATTATATATTCCATCTCCGTGTTAGATATTCCCAACTTCCTGTTATATATTCCATCTCCCAGTTAGATATTCCCTACTTCCTGTTATATATTCCATCTCCCTGTTAGATATTCCCAANTTATTATTATTATTATTATTATTATTATTATTATTATTATTATTATTATTATTATTATTATTATTATTATTATTATTATTATTATTATTATTATTATTATTATTATTATTATTATTATTATTATTATTATTATTATTATTATTATTATTATTATTATTATTATTATTATTATTATTATTATTATTATTATTATTATCATTATTATTATTATCATTATTATTATTATTATTATTATTATTATTATTATCATTATTATCATTATTTCTATTGTTTACCTCGGAGGCTGCCCTTGCATTTTACAAGAATACATAGATTGCTGGTACTGCTGCTGCTGTTGTTGTTGTTCATCACGTACTGCAGGTTGTGTAATACCATCATGCCATCCTTCTACTCCGCCTCCATAGTACCCGTTCCTATACAGTGTACTAAGTACAATTCACTTTTTTAGGAATTACTGAATATACATATTTGAAATATTCTTCAAAGGATATAATGATATGAAATTTTTAAAAACTATTTTTATGTTATCCCGACTTAGAATAAAACATTTGTTATTTGTTGAAATTTAAAAAGATAAGTAGAAACAAGCCTCTTTGAACTTTAACCGAATACAGAGTCAGACAAAAACAAAGTTTTGAACTTTAACTTTTATTTAAGTATTCAATGTCTTGCGAGTTCTATAAACAGTGAATGCCAAAATTAGGTCGAAATTATGAATACGACATGAAACTACTATAAAGTTTATCAACTGTATGTATGTTCTTAAGTTAGTATTTATGTCTAAAGTTTACCAATTGCATGTTCTTAAGCTAGTATTAATGTATCTACTGTATATTCTAAAATTACTATTAATGTCTAAAGTATATCAACAGTATATTCTTAAGTTAGTATTTATGGCTAAAGTATGTCTACTGTATGTTCTGAAGTTGGTATTTATGACTAAAGGTGTATCAATTGTTTGTTCTTAGGACAGTATTTATGTCTAGACTGATTCTTCTTTATGTTCTAAAGTTTTTATCTATGTCTACAGTATATCTATTGTATGTTTTGAAGTTAGTATTTTTGAAAGAAACATAAATGTATTTTAAGAAAAGGTTTTAAATTGAGAAAAGAGATAAAAACTAACTACATGATATGTAGAAAAGAGATAAAAACTAACTACATGATATGTATAAAAGAGATAAAAACTAACTACATGATATGTATAAAAGAGATAAAAACTAACTACATGATATGTATAAAAGAGATA